AAAACCTATGGTTAAGTCTCTAATGGGTCTGCTTCAGGTCCCTCAAGGATTTCGTTTCTGTGCTTTTTGAAAAAAATTAAAACTTGCAAATTTAGAACAATATGAGCAGTAAGAGGAAGAGAAGAAAGTTTGTATCTATTAATAAAAATGCCAAGAACTTCTTTTTAGTTTTTTTGTTTTTTTTTTTAGAGCAATGTTGTCACTCTAAATAGAGTTGCTATCTCATTTTCTTTACTTGCCCATTATAATCTGGTATCGAGAAGTCAGAATACTCATTTTCATGTGGAGAGGCAAAGGTAAGGATTTACCTGGGAGGAAAAAATGACTAGGAGTTCCTCCAGCAAACAATTTCTTAGGTTTTTGTTAAAGGTATTAATTAGGTGGCTGTGATCATGTATCTAGACATAAGGACTTTTAGATTATAAAAGAATAGCATAATCAGCATCACCTTTATATATCTATTCTGTATTTAACTTTTTCTTTCTTCCTTATTTTTTATAGTGGTAGCAAGAAGATTTTATTTTATTGTCAGCCCAGGAATATATTTGCATACCTTTTTGTCATGTTATGCAAATCATTATCTCATTTGCTACAATCTGAATATTGAGGAGGATTACAGCTGGGCTATTTTCCACAAAGGGGAAAATAAAGAACTTGTCACAGTAAATGTGCAAAACAGATGGATTAAAACTGGAGAGCATTTTATTTTCCTTGCCTTTGTTTTTAAATAATTAAGTATAATGTCTCACAATTGATTGTTCAGGGAACCCAAATTCATGTAATTGTGTGCAATATGTTAACTAGTTCTGGTAGCCTCAGAGTCTTTTTGTTGATTGAATGGGAGAAAGGAAGAGTGGATGAAAGTCTACCAAAGCTTGTGTTCATTAAGATATATTTCCTACTGTTAGAAAATCCTGTTCAGACATTTATCACATCATTAATCAGCTCATCAGAATATCACTATGTAGAAAATCCTCTCCTTCATTCAGTGGCTTTAATGACATTGTTTTAAGAAGCCCTGTTAATAGACCTAGCCCTAGTATTTGGATAACTACCATTTTCTTAAGGATTCGACTTTGGACTTAACAAGAAAGCAAATCCTCTGGTTGACATTTTGCTTAAGAGGGCAGTATTATTTTAAAAGTTTTTCTACTTAACAAATGAAGCATCAGTTTACTTAGCTACTTTTCCTATGACCAAATAAAGAACAGGATACTAATTAAATAGTTAATAGGCATAATCTGGGAAACTAAAGAAGGATTCATGTAAGAATTATGAACAATTTTAATTTACTTGGATTTTTCTAAGAACAATTTTAATCATTTACTTTTATTCTTGAGATATGAGATAGAGTGAACTCTTCACATTTAAGAATTTATTAATATAATAAATATAGAAAATTTTAAAAGAATATAATTTTCAGGTAGAGAAATTTGAAAACATTTATTTGCAAAAATATATGCACCCCTATGTTCATTGCAGCATCATTCACCATGGCCAAGACATGGAGACAACTAAAATGTTCTTCAGTAGAGTACTGGATAAAGAAGATGTTGTACATATATACAGTGGGATAATACTCAGTCATAAGAAAAGACGAAATACTGCCATTTGAGCCCTAGCCAGTTTGGCTCAGTGGATAGAACTTCGGCCTGCAGACTGAAGGGTCCCAGGTTCGACCCTTGGTTGCAGGCTCCTCCCAGACCAGGGCCCTTGTCAGGGCACATGCAGGAGACAACCAGTCAATGTGTTTCTCTCACATTGACATTTCTCTCTGTCTTTCCCTCTCTCTTCCACTCTCTAAAAATCAATGGAAAAATATCCTCTGGTGAGGATTAAAAAAGAAAAGAAAAGAAATACTGCCATTGAGCCCTAGCTGGTTTGGCTCAGTGGATAGAGCATCGGCCTGCAGACTGAAAGGTCCTGGGTTCATGTCCGGTCAAGGGCACATGCCCCAGTAGCAGGCTCTTTGTGTATGTGGGGGGAGTTGTTTGTTTGTTTGTCTTATTTTGTTTTGTTTTAGTTATCTTCAGAGATTTTCTTCCATATTTACAGTCAAATGTACTTTGTGGTTAGATAAATAGGTAATAACCTATAGCTATATTATATTATAGTTGTTTTCATTAAGAATTCTGTTTTTTCTGCTGAAACCGGTTTGGCTCGGTGGATAGAGCGTCGGCCTGCAGCCTGAAAGGTCCCAGGTTCGATTCCGGTCAAGGGCATGTACCTGGGTTGCGGGCACATCCCCAGTAGGAGATGTGCAGGAGGCAGCTGATCGATGTTTCTCTCTCATCGATGTTTCTAACTCTCTATCTCTCTCCCTTCCTCTCTGTGAAAAATCAATAAAATATATTTAAAAAAAAAAAGAATTCTGTTTTTTCTTTGCATTAAAATCAGTTTGGGAATCACGCAGTAATATTTTAATTCATGTTTATTATTTGCTCTGAAGGATATATCATATTCAGTATAGCCATTTGAGCAGAATCTTTATAAAGTTCATCATGTTTGATGTTGGGTAATGGGCTTTATTCTATAAGACTCTTTTTAAAAAGAGGACAAATGGAAGGGAACAAGGAGAAGGAGAAATACTACAAATAACTCATTTAATGAAAAGCTACATAAATTGGAAAGTAGACTGAAAAACAAAGGTAGTATCATCAGAAGAATTACTAGACATTTCATTGAAATGAATTTTAATTCTGTTGATTAAAAACTGCAGTATATCAGTCAATAATGTAGCTTAATTTTTAAAAAATATGAACTCAAATTAAAGAATAAGTATACTTAAAAGAGAAAAAAAATAGTGTTTTCATGTGAACTAGGGATTAAAACCACCTGTTTTAGATTTTTTTAGTTCTTCCCTAAGTGTTTTATAACAACTGTCAGAGTGGTGAAAACACAAAGAACAGTAGAAGTCAGCTAAATATCTGATTCAGCATGTTTTAATAAAAATCCACATCCTGCTTCTCAGCCATACTTCGTAGCCATGAAGCTCACAAATGTGTAGCGTGTAACTATTCAGTAACTGGGAAATGGCGAATGTCCTCAAGTGTAGATTTTCAGTATTTTGTGGAAATTGCTCACCTTCAGGGAGTGACAGATTGACTGAAGCCTGGAGTTCCAGCGTTACGCTCTGTCTCAGCCTGATGTTGTGACTATCACAGCTGAAATACAGGTCTCCTTGCTTCTCATGGTTGATAGCATCTGGGCTCTTGTAAAGGCACTGGGATTAACCGTGGCAAACAGTTCTCTGTATGCAGCAAAACGTGGAAATTGTAAATATTCTTTCAGTTAACACTTATCTAGCACCTTAATGTGAATGCAACAGATAATGTTCCATATTCTGGTGACACTGTACCATAGATACTAGAATATGTATCTACCATATAACAATAAAAATGTAGTGTGATAAATTCTGTAAGAGTGTAAGCACAGAGTATACTAGGAGTAGAGTAGGGACATCTATTCCAGATATGGTAGGAGAGGAAGAAAGCCGGGATCAGGGAAGCCTCCCATTAGGAATGCCTCTAGAGGTAATGAATAGCTCTAGTCCTAGATACATGGGATCTGTAGTAGAGTGGTAGATTACACAGTGCAGATAACTGTACAGTCTAACTAGATTTAAGGTAGGACTGGGATTCTTCCTTTCTCTGCTTTGCCTTCTCTTTCTTTCTCATTTTCTTTTTCCTTCCCTTCCTCCTTATCCCACTCTTTGCTCTTCCTTCCTTCCTCCCTGCCTTTTTCTCTTCCTCCCTCTCTCTTAACCTCCCCCTCCTCCCTTCATTACCAACTGCATAAGGACAGAATTTTATTCATCAAACTAGAAGCCCAGTGCAAGAAATCGCGCAGCCTCACCCACATGCACCGGTCTTTGGTCGTTATGGTATTAAGGCCACAGGCCTTTTATAATATAGATTCTTGGTTCATGGGCTAATATATCATTGGACAGTTCCTGGCTTTCATTCACTCATTTATGAGGCTACACTTAATACATGCGAAATATTAATAGTTACACCTTTGCTTTTTTATTTAATCCCCTTACTCCGCCTAAAAGGTAGCTATTATCCTGAGTTGTGTATATCATCCCTTTTATCATTGGTTTGTTTGTGTGTTTTTTCATATATAACTTACCTAAACAATACATTGCTTAGTTGTTGTTTATTTAACTCAACAGAAGAATGACATTCTTCTATATATGTATTCTGTTGCTATTTTCCACTCAACAACATACTAATATGATTCACTATGTTTTTATTTGTAACTGATTTCATTCAGTTTTATTTCAATTAATATTCCATTGTGTGAATATACCACATATTGTCCATTCTCCTGACAGTGGGCAGTTCAGTTGTTTATATTGTGCAGTTGTGAACAGTGGCTGCTATGAACATTTTTACTTGCTGCCTAAGTCATATCTGAAGGTTTCTTCAGAGTTTATATCTGGGAATGGAAATATTGGCTCATAGTGTGTGCAAGGGTTAAACTTAAAAGATAATGCCAAATCGTTTTTCCAAAGCTATTGGGCCAACTTGAATTCCCACCAGAAGCATAGAAAGCTCACATCGATCTATATTTTTCCTAACACTTGGTCTTGTGAGATTAATTTCTGTCAATTCCATGCCATGTAACGTGAATGCTATCTAATGGTGTGTGATTTTGGTTTGCATTTCACAGGTTACTAATGAGATTGTGCATCTCTTGGTATATTTATTGGTCATGTCTATTTTATCTAATCTTTCAATTATAAGATTTTATTGGTCTATACTAGTAAATACGTGATATTTTTATATTCGCAGTTGTGGTATCTTAATCATAAAAAGATATATAATCATTAAAGTTAAATAGATATAATTTAGTAGTATAGAGATCAGTGAGTAAACTTCTAATAAAGGATGCACAGTCAAATCGTTAACAAATGTGAGAGAAGAGGAAATAATTCTATTTTGAAATTATTTTCATGACATTTTTTTACAGCTTGGTGTTCATTTTTCTTTTGACAGAACGATTTCGAGATTTACTACTCCCTTCATCTAGTCAAGACTCTGAGATTCTGCCCTTCATTCAGTCTAGAAAATATCCCAAGTAAGCAATAGGAGTGACTGGGTATTGAAAAGGGAGTGGGCAAGTAAGTAATGGGAGAGATTTGGGAGGACAAAGACAAAATGTGTTCTTTCTTAAGATTTCTGAAAAAGCCAGAATAACTTAGCCTAACTAATTTGGGCATCTTTTGCAATATAATGTCCCAGGCTCTGCACAGCTGGGTCAGAGAAAAAAAGACTCGCTTGCAAGTGCAGCCAGCTGTGGCTGGGAACTGTTGAGAGTGCAAACCAAACGGTCTGCGTCAGTGTCTGGCCGCGTGTTTCTCTTTGCCTGGTGCTGTATCAACAGACACAGACACTCTGAGTGTCCGTCTGGTTTCCTGTTTCTGTTCTTTAAAAATGCAAGGGTTTATTCATATTGTATAAGTGGTTTTCAAATACCCATGTGCTAGATGTGATTTTAGCAATTTCCACAGATTCCTCTGTACTGTCTTTATAGTTATGAGAAGTGTTATCTCCTGGTCCTTTCTAAATGGGGGCAGACCTTGACTCTCTTAGATGCCACAGGTGTACTTATTTGGCTGAAGGAATAGTCCTTCATCTTTGCAGAGAATAAAGAGTTACCAGGGATTTTTGTTTTGTTTTCAATTAGGCATCCTCTTTCTAAAGGCTGGTAGATGCTGCTGTCTTGATGCTTCCTGGGGAAGCTCCAAGCTCCCTCTACTCTATGAATGTCTGACACTCTTTACTAGCTAGTATGCAAGAGGCTAAAGAATGAATAAACTAATATCGTAAATAAAAAAAAAGGTCACCAAGTTAAAGAGCTAAAGCTTGGTTCACACATTTTTCATCAAAACTAATCACTATGCTAAATGATTCCTTTTTTGATTGGTCGGGCAGTTTATTCAGGTAGTCACTGAATTTCTCTTTCTAGGGTAACTTTCTCCCCTAATAATTAGCTTTAATAATATTTACTTAACTCTCAAAACAAATATAGAATTCAAAGTATTTGTTCATTGTTTTATATATGTATCCCTATTTAATCTCTAGCAATAATCTTGCAATGCCCTTACAACACACAGGGACATACATGTGCCTGGATAGCCTGGTATTAATACATTCCTCTTCCGTGTACATATTGACCGGGAGGAGGGAGGTGCCTGAAGTGACTGATGCATGTCTACCTTCATTTTTTCCTAGGCTGTTATTTGCAGAGGCCAGTGATGCCTGCTTTTCTTCCTCTAGGCTACTGTCTGCCTGATACCGTTGCTTAAAGAGAGGAATCACAGTGGTTTCTCAGCTGGTGACCAGTTTGCTGCTATTTCCCTAGGTTTTCTTAGTTGCATGGCCTTACATGTTTTCTTCTTGTTCTTAGGTTACTTTTAGGATAGTGATGTGATTCATTCTAATATTTAAGAGAGACACCATGTGACAATCTTTTGCCACTCTGTTCTTTGGGGTAGATATATTCTTTTTGGTTTCTGTGGATTAAAAGAATAAAAATCATCTAGAGATGCCACACACACCATATTACAGCAGTTGAGAGTGTGGAATCTGAAGCAGACCGCCTTACCAGCTGATGTGACCTGAGACAACTTAACCCTCTGTGCCTCAGTTCCACTTGTGTGCAAAGGGGTGTTAACAAAGCCTACACTCAGGGGTGTTATGAAGATTAAATAAATTAAACAAAAAAAAAATACGTAAGCCCTAGCCGGCTTGACTTGGTGGATAAAGCGTCAGCCTGCGGACTGAAGGGTCCCTGGTTCCATTCTGGCCAAGGGCACATGCCTGGGTTGCGGGCTTGATCCCCAGTGGGGGCAAGCAAGAGGCAGCCGATCAATGATTCTCTCTCATCATTGATGTTTCTATCTCTCTCCTTCTCCCTTTCTCTCTGAAATCAATAAAAAAATATATATTTTTTAAAAATTAAAAAAAAATACTTAAAACCCAGTTTACACATAGGAGTACTCCACTCTAACTGCAGGTCTTGTTATTATTCATTTAAAATTGCATACAGAATTAACTAGGCTTGCCCATTTCCAGAATCTTAGGGAAAGAGATTATTGACCCATCTTGGAGGATAGCTCTTATATCAGCATAACTTTTGTCAACCTGCCTTTATTAATACATAGGGAAGTTTGTTTATTCACTATTACTAGATTATTACTAACACTGTGTGACACAGTGCTTTGGTAGCCATTTAACATTTTTATGAGGTTCAGTTCTCGAAAGCATCAAATGAAAGCATGCTAATTAAAGATTTCTGGGTCTGTGTAATATTTATATAAAAATCCTAAATTAAATAGAGTTTGTTTCTTTAAGTTAAATAATATTAAACTTCACATCTTCCCATTGCACATTTAATGTCTAGTTTGGCAGTAGAATTTTAGGAGGTGTTAGTGGAAGAGAGGGGGGAAAATAGAATTCTATTTGTGCTGCGCCCAGGGAGTGTTGCCTTGGTCCAGGGAAGGGCATGGGCATGGAAGCAATGCCCATGTGAAAATTGCCGGGGAAGGAGAAGAGAGAGCTATGGTAAGGGCCAATTAACAAATACAAGCGGGCAGGGATTTGTGTGTGTCTCATTCTAATTTAAACAAATTTTGGATTATTTATCCTTTTAAATATCCTCCTTTATTCTCATTAATATTCACTCTCAAGTATACTATTCTCATTTATTCATTATTGAAGATAACTAAAAACAAAGGAACTTCACATTTTGTGACACACAAAAATTTCTGGAAAGCTGAACATTTAATCAAGGTGTTATTTGTTGCTTTTATCTCAGCACAGTATACCTATTTATTCTGAGATATTTTCTATGAATATAGTCTTTCTTCATGAGAGATATGTTTTCAGAGCTAACACATAGGTGAAGAAGCAAGTTATTTGCCCTATGTTCGTAGTGTCACAGAGTGATATTCACAGAGCATATTGTAGTCAGCCTTTCCATGAGACTCACTCGACACTGGTTAATGTAGCTTTTGAAGGGACTGTGGTAATTTGGATTGGAGTGGGTTCTCTACTTAGCATAGTATTTATAACCTAAAGCATCTTGCTGCCAAGAGACACCTAATAGATAATGGCACACAGTAAAAGGTAAAGGGTATTCTTTATTTAAAAAGCGGGAAAGATAAAAAAGAATAAAAAGAGAAAATTAATCGTGAAGAACTAGCTAGTTCTTGAAATGTATGTGTGTGCGCACATGTGCACTCACCCACCTTTTAAGGGAAAGCCATTTAAAAACAAACGTTACATGTGATGGTGGTAGGAAACATTTTTCTAAAACATATTGTTCACTAATCACATTATTACCTTCGTGAACTTGCACTTAACCCATTGCTACAGCCCAGGCACGTCCATTCTAATCAGCATGTAACTGAGGACAGCGTGACATGAAAATTCTCAGAGCGTGAATACGGGTGGCCATTTATGAGAGACAGAAAGAGGTGGGTGATCTAAAAGAAGAAAATGCTGATTTATAAATTAGAGGGAAGAAATGGAGATAATGAAACTTAAGTTTTGTTGATCATTCCTTAGCTGGTGTCATTGCTAGTAACTTTGAAGGACTTAGGGTTAAAATGCATTTAGACTAGAAGGTAGCTGCAAATACCCCTGTCCTTGGAGATGTAAAATGGCTTAGGACATTTGGCATACTTTTACTCACAAGTGACTTGCAATCATTTTAGCAGTTAGGTCAACAAAACATGATCCATTCACTCTGGAAAGTTTGAACATCGTGTGTATAAAAATACTGGGAGATCAACCAAAGGACTTATATGCATGCATATAAGCCTAACCAGTGGACACAGACAACAGGGGGTGAGGGCATGAGTGTGTGTAGGGGGGTAATGGGGGGATAAGGACACATATGTAATACCTTAATCAATAAAGAAATTAAAAGTAAAAAAATAAAAATAAAAATATGGTGAAAATGCAGGAATAAAATGTTGCATATCTCTGCTTGGTTCTCTTAAAGATCAAGTTGTCTTTATGCTTAGTGTCAGAACTGTTTATAGAGAGGAATATTATTTAGGACAAATTCAGAGCTGTTCCTGTTTGGCTTGGTTTGACACCAAAGAACAACCTTGATTTCTTGAGCAATAAAAGCAGTGTCTTAAACCAATGTCCTTTCCAATGGGCTGCTTAAAATAGGCTTTAAACAGTGATGTTGGGCAATATGCTTAAACTGAAGAGCCTCAAATGACCTTCCCCAATTTCATCTATTCTTCAGCTTATCTTCCTTTTTTCCTCAAAGAAAGTTTTGAGTTCCTCTTCTTCTAAACAACCATCCCTCTTCAATAATTTTTGTAAAATCTCATGTCTACAGTACTAGTATATTTGAACTAAGTTATTTCCATTCATAGTAAAAAGTAATAGCACTTAATGAAAACTTTTACATGTCAAGAATTGTATTAAATGCTTTACATGCATTATTCTATTTAATCCTTACCATTTCCCTATGAGTTAGGGAGTACTATTTCCCCAATGTTCAAATTTTACATATTAGGGAACGGGATCTAAGTGGATTAAGTACCTTATTCAAAACCCCATTGAAGAGCTGGATCTCACACCCAGGTCTCTTTGGCCCCCAAATTATACTTAATTGTTCTATCCTACTTCTCACTTATTCATTTATTCATCTGTTCATCCATTCTTCAGGTATTTGTTGAATAATTACTGTGAACCAGAAGCAGTCACAATTACTGAGAATCTATAATAATAAAAAGTATAATATGCTAATTAGACTAGACATCCTTCTGGACCAAGCTGGGGCTGTGAGGGCCAAGCCCCTGGCATGAATTTCGTGCATTGGGCCTCTAGTATTAAAATGGTTAGGACATAGTGTGTGGTTTTGAGGGGCCTGAAGTCATGGGGTGGGGGGAAGCAGAATCAGAATTAAATGGAGAAATTAATTATAGCAATGTGATAAGATGTGCTCATTTTAAGAAATGCACTAAATTTAATGAGAGAAGACAATAGAAAGTGCCTTCCTGTGTAGTTTATTCATATGAAGTTGAATTCCCCCTTAAGTGAAATCTTGAA